GATGGCACCTAACAATAACTAATAACAACATGTGATATTGTTGTGGTTGTTATGAAGTGCCACTGAGTTGGCGCCAACTCATTGACTGTGAATAGAGTTTCCATAGACCAGTTGGTGTATTTGAACCACTGACCTTGTGGTTAGCAGTCTAGTGTTTATCCTACAGAGTCATACCAGGACCATAAAAAAGGCTCTCACAGTGATTGTTATTTCTTAAGTAACCAAAATTACAATCACTTACCTTCTACCTTTTACAAACACGGAAATTGTGTAAGATCCCAAATGTCTTGAATCTCTGACTATAAATGCACCTTCTTTAGACTGCAAAATAATTGATTCATTTTACAAGTTAATTCCTTCATAGAAAGACAAACTAGCTCAATAATGAAGAACTAAGCTTTATTGATTACTATTAACATTAAAATCATTTTCACATGTACATACCATCTTTTCTCTTTTGGGGGTTTAGAAGTCACACCTATATAAGAATGTGTAATATATAAGTAGTCTAATGCCCTGGGTTACTCCTAATTTTCCTTTAAAAATTTTGTGTTTGACAACCTTGTACAATGCCACTTGGTTATTTTGGTTATATGGGGGGTAAGTTAAAAAATATTGTTAGAAGATCATAGAAATTTTTACTAATCAAAAATAACAAAAATGTGAAGCTACCGTTTGTTGGCCTAGCCTCCACCAACATCTAGATACTTCTGAAAGCAATGTTTCTATGTCTCCTGAAGAATTCTGCACTCTTCAATTCAAACCATGTCAAAACAGCAGTTTAGTCATCTTCAAAGGACTCAAATTGTGTTTTTTCAAGGTTCTTTGAGTTTGGAGGACAAAAAGAAGTCTGAAGGGGCAAAAAAAAAAAAAAGAGCTATGAAGGACAGAAGGGTGGATGGGATACAGTTTCCCAATGAAATTCTCATAGGATAGCCCTTGTTACCTTTGAATAATGCGTGGGTGGCATTTTCATGATAGAAAAAAAAAATCCTCAGTATAACTATCCTGGCCTTTTTCTTACCAAGGCAGTTTTCAATTTTCTAAAAATTTCACAGTAAGTCCCCATGGTCATCCTGTGTTCTTCAAGACAATATAGCAAGATTACCACTTTGGGGTAGAAATTTTGTAACTAAAACAGGGGAGTAGTTAGATTTACAGTCCAGAAACAGAGGACCTTAAGACCATCAATGGAGAAGAGCACAAGTGGAATGCGGGACCCTATCCAGAGAAGCAGCAACACCAGAAATGGAGGCAGAGATGGGGACATGGAGGGAGGGACTGAGTCCTGGCAGCCAGGAGGCAGGCTTACAGAATGTGACCTTGGGTTGTTTAAATTATAATATATTCCTGAATGTTTCTGTGTACATTCCCCTCCTCCCCCTCGCCCCACGACCCTCACCCCCCCAAAAAACAGAGGGAATGGAAGCAAATACTGTTGAATGATGATGCACAGAAGAGATTGTAATCATTGCAGTGAAATGATGGTGTAAAGCCAATATTATCCCATGTAAATTATCACTCAGTTCACAATGGGAGCCCCAAAACCAGTTGCCATAATCTGAGCTGGCCTTTCTGCTTTCAGTGTAATTGGCTGAGCAGATTCCTTGGAAGCCATTGTTTGGATTTTTTTTTTTTTTTTTTTTTTTGTAGGTTCCCTAATGAGACCAACACAAGTGTATTACTGGGAGAACTTGTCTGCAGCCATCTGCTGGTCACAGAGACAGGTTTCAACATGCTTTGCTTGGAATAAACCCATACAGTGAATTCTTCTACTAAGGCTCCAAAGTGGAAAGAGAGCAAATAACCTTCACTGGACATAAAGCAATAAAACCAGAAACCAAGAACAAGCCCAAACTAAAAAGCCCCTACAACTAGCCTATTAAAAAATTCTCTTTTACTTAAATGTAGGAAATGCAAATGAAAACTGTAAAAATAACTAGAAAATAATAAGAAAACACTATACATCAGGACCTACACTGTTTGTTTTTGTATATGGTGTGAAGTATGGGTCTTGTTTTCTTCTGAAAAATCAATTTCCCGTTTTGCACACGGTGTGAAAAACCATTTCACACCATATACAAAAACAAACAATGTAGATTAAAGACCTAAATGTAAAACCTAGAACTATAAATATCATAAATGAAAAAATAGAGACAAAATTAAAGACCCTAATACCTGGCATATATCAAGTACACAGATAGTAGAAGACAAAACAGGTGACTGGGACCTCCTAAAAATTAGAAACATATGTGCATCAAAAGATTTCACCAAAAGAGTAAAAAGGGAGCCCACAAACTGGGGAAAATAGATTTGCAATGACATATGAGACAAGAGACTGACATATAAATTTATAGAAAATTATAACACCTCTACAAGAAAAAGAGAAAAAGCAAAACAAAATATGGGCAGAGGACATGGACACTTCACTAAGAAAGACATTCAGGCAGCCAACAAACATATGAAGAAATGTGCATGATCATTAGCCATTAGAGTGATGCCAATTAAAATAATAATGAGATATCATTTCACACCAGCATTAACAGCGAAGTTCCAAAGGATAGAAAACAACAAATGTTGGCGAGAGTGCAGACACACTGAGAGTCTCCTACATTGCTGGTGGGACTGTAAAATGATTCACCCACTCTGGAGAACAGTATGGTGTTTCCTCAGAAAGTTGGCAATAGAAATACTTTATGACCCAACAATACCTGTACTTGGTACATATCCACAAGAAATGAGCCAGGACATGAGTAGATACATGCACACCCATGTTATCACAGCACTATTCACAACAGCAAAAAGATGGAGAAGGTCAAAGTGTAACCAATGAAAGAATGGATAAACAAACTTTGGTACAAACACATAACATTAAAGAATAA